ACCGGGGGGAGCGGGGGGGGGGGCGCCCGGGGGGAGCGGCTGGGGGCGGGGCCAATGGGCGGGGGCGGGGCTTGGCGCGGAGGGGCGTGACCAAGGCTCAGCAGGAGGGCTCGTTCGTTCCCGCCCCCGCCTCCTTCCCGGCATGCCCTTCGGCGCCCCGCCTTCCCTCTGCGCTTCGCTGCGATTGGCTGCGCGCGCCACCGGCCCCCGCGCGCGGCGCTGCCCTAATAAGGCGAGCGGCGCGCGCAGCCTGCCCGCCCCTCATTGACCGCCCGCCGCCTGCCCCGCCTCCGGCGCGCGCGGCGATTGGCGGGCCCCCCCGAGAGCCCATTGGCTCTGCGGCGCGCGGCGCGCTCCCATTGGCCGAGGCGGGCGGCGGTCCCGCCTCCGCGGCGTCGTGGGCGCGGCGCGTGCGCGGAGCGGGCGGCGGTGGCGCGAGGCGATGGCGGCCGTGGGGACGATGGCGGCCATGGGCCCGCTGCCCGCCATGGGCGCGCTGCCGCCCCTGCCCACTCTCGGCGTGCCCGGCGTGCCCGAGCTCAAACCGCTGACGCGCTACGACGCGATGCGGCTCGGCCCGGGCTGGAGCCATTCGTGCCACGCCATGCTGTACGCGCCCAACCCGGGCATGCTGTTCGGCCGCATCCCGCTGCGCTACGCCGTGCTGGTGAGGGGGGGCGAGGCCGCGCGGGGCCGGGGCCGGGGCCGGGAGTAGGACGGCGGCGGGCGGGCCCTCGGGATGGGTCGGGGCCCACGGGGCTGGGTCGGGCCGCGGGCTCCGGGGGCGGCGGGCTGAGGGGCGGTGGCTCCGCGGTAGTTCCCGTTCAGGGCGGTAGAATCAGGCTGGGCCCGAGCCCGGGGGGGAGCCCCCGGGCCCGCGGGCTTGTGCGGCCGGGGCGCGGAGCCCCGACGGCCGGGCCGCTGTCGGTGAACGGTCCTGGATGCGCCGGAGCCGGCAGTGCCGCGACGGAGCGGCCGCGACGCCTCCCGCGCTCCTCCGGCTCCTCCGGAGGCCCCCGTGACGCCCCTCGCCCCCCGCCGGGGGCCGCGCCGTGCCCCATTAACACCCTGCGCCTCTATTGCAGATGCAGATGCGATTTGACGGACTGCTGGGCTTTCCCGGGGGGTTCGTGGATCGCCGTTACTGGTCCCTGGAGGACGGTCTGAATCGGGTGCTGGGCTTGGGTTTAGGCTGTGTGCGCCTGACGGAAGCTGACTATCTGTGCTCGCACCTGACAGAGGGGCCACATCGCGTGGTGGCACACTTCTACGCCAGGCAGCTCACCCTGGAGGAGCTGCACACCATCGAGATCAGCGCGGTGCATTCCCGAGACCACGGGATGGAGGTGGGACACCCGGGAGGGGTGTGCGAGCTCTCACTTAGCCCAGGGAAGGCGCCGCTTCCCTCCTGGGTCTGCCGGGCTGCCCTGGCCAGCCCGGCCGGGGAATGCACCGCAGGTAGAGCTGCCGGCGGCAGGTGCCCGCACCGCCCGTGGCATCGGCGTTAGGGACCGCGGCCGGGGTCTGCCGCAGGCTCCAGAGCGTAGCGAGCTTGAGCTCCAGCTTTTCCCGGTGTCCACCCACGCAGGGATGAGCCCCGTGTTACCGCTCGGCCTCAGGATGTGGGCGAGGGCCGTTTGCAGCCGGGGGGATCTGCCCCTGCCCCGGGCTGAGTGCCCCGGACTGGACCGTGACCTCGGTTGGTGATGTCGCTGTGACCCGAGTTCCTCCCCTGCGGGGGCGCCTTCCTGCTCGCGGGCAGCCAGGGCCGGCTGGTGGCCGGGGCAGAGCGGGAGAGCCAGGGCCTCCCCCCGCGCCCCCGCGGCGCTCGGTGGGTGTCGGCAGCCGGGCGAGCTGCAGAGGCAGCGGGCTCTGGGTTGTGGCCTGGTAGAGGGGCGCTCGTGGGTCAGCCGTGGTGTCCCTACCACGCAGGGCACGGCTGGAGGGGCAAGTGGGACTCCCCATAGCGGCCTGGGGCAGCGGGATCCCTGCAAAGGGGCAGCAGGGGGAGCAGAGCCAGGGCTGGGCTGAGGGGCTGGGCAGGGAGAGCAGGGCCCGGGGGGTTTGGGAAAGGGCAATGAAGGGGCTCAGGGGGCTGAGGGCAGCAAGGGCAGGGTTGGTGTGGGAGGGAGGGCAGGACCTGGCACAGGGGCGGGGCGAGCCTGGGCCGAGGGCTGGCGGGCGCTGGGTGCGGGTGCAGGGCAGAGGGGGTGCGGGGCAGGGGGGGCCGGTGCTGCCGCGGCCCCTGCTGAGCTGTGCCCGTGCTGTTGCAGGTGATGGGCATGGTCCGCGTGCCCCTCTACACCCAGAAGGATCGCATGGGCGGGCTGCCCAACTTCCTGGCCAACTCCTTCGTAGGAACGGCCAAGTTCCAGCTCCTGTTTGCCCTGAAGATCCTGAACATGGTGCCGGAGGAGAAGCTGGCCGAGGCCGTGGCTGCCACGCAGAGGCCGAAGAAGGGGGCCATCGACCACGGCGGAGGGGCGGCGGGACACCACCACCACAAGGCGGGCAACGAGCTGGCTAGAGCGGGCAATGAGCTGGGAGAGAGGGCAGAGCACCCGGGCATGCTGCACGGGGGGGCTGAGCAGCACCTGGTGGGGCTGGAGGGCGATGCCGAGGCGCTGGAGCAGGTGGGGCTGGGCGCCGACGAGCAGGGCGAGGGCATGGAGTGACGGCGCCGCCTCGGCGCTCCGTTAAAAGGGGGTGAGCTGAGAGACTTCTAACTTTGCGACCCGTGGCTGGCTGCAGCACTGCCCACGAGATCCCGCTGCCCGGCCGGGAGGGGTTGGGTTTGTCTAAAGCAGGGAAAAGCGATTTTATTTTTATGGCCATTAAACTCTTAGCGAGCTTCCCAGATCAGCCTGCACAGCCCCTGCAGAGAGTTCATGTGCTTACGTGAGGGCGCCAGAGCCTTAGAATAACGCTTTGATTTCAGGGACACGCTGCTGCTGCTGTCAGGTCCCCCTTTCATTTGTAAGGAACAAAACATCCAATTTTTTAAATGGCCCGTCTCGACTCGGACGTGGCTGTGTTGGCACCGGGCACAGCTGAGGCCTGGGGCTTCTGGTCAAGCACCTCTGCCCATGTCAGTGGCCAGGCTCCTGCTTGGGGTGCTGGCACAATGGGGCAGCCGTGCCATGAATTCCCTCTGGGGCGTTGGGGATGCTCATGTGGGTCCCTACCTGGAGATCTGTGGGAGCAGGAAAGTGGAATAAATGGCTTTGCTGAAAGTTTAACACTTGGGATCGTTCTTGGGGGCTGGAGCAGAGTCCATGTGACCCAGAGCTGGGGAGGTGCAGGGTGGGGAGCACAGAGGGCACAGGTGAGGGGCTGCAGCTGGGTCTGGCTCAGGGGCTGCACCACTACAGCCCTTGGGGGTTTGGGTGGCTCCAGAAGGGTTTGTGCTCCCCAGGGCTCCAGGCAGGGCTGGGAGCAGTTTTGTCCCAGGTGCAGGAGCACCTGCCCAGCACAGGCTGTGCCTGAGGGGCCTTGTCCTCCTGGAGTGGGCACAGCCAGCGAGGGCCCCAGTGCTGCAGCTGCACAGGGCTACAAGCCAAACCCACCCACGCTGCAGGCTCAGCCCTGCTGGAGCTGCTGCCCCTTCCCTGTCCCCCCTCTCCCTGCAGCCCCCCCAGGATCCCCCCAGCCCCACAGCAAAGGGTCTGTGCTCACCCTGCCCTGGGGCAGAGCACGAGCAGCTGGCCAGAGACAGAGGCTCTGCAGGGACAGACAACTCAAAAAAGAGGTTTGGTTTAATTGAAGATGTTTAGAGAGAGGTTCTTCAATAAATAATGGGCTAAGGTGGGGGGACAGGGCTGACACCTCAGGACAGGGTGGTAGGAGGACACACAGACCAGTCACAGCTCCCTTGGGACGTGCTCGAGTAGTGGAGTTGGGTTGTGTGAGGGGAGGAACTGGGGACACAGACACACATCAGCCCCAGGCAGTCAGGAGAGAGAACAGCTTCATTCTGGTCCAGAGAAAGCAAGTGCTGAGAAAAAACGGGCTTGGGCTGCTAAAGAAACTCTAAACCAACAGATGTGATAAGGAAAAGTGGATAAGCAAAAATACCCCAAACTGGTAACAAGTGAGGCTGGAAGGGTGTCAGGGGCCCTGAGGAGGCACTGGGGCTGGGAGGAGCTGCCTGCCCAGTGCCACTGGCACTGCTGAACTAGAGGGGAGCCAGGGATGACATGGGATGGAAGAGGCCTGCCCCGAGGGCAGCCCTGGCACCTTGGGGCTTGAGGGTCTCACAGGCTGGGCTTTCCATCACTGCCCTGTCTGACTCCTCATAAACACCCCTTTACCTTGTCTTTGGGCCCCAGAAGGACCAGCACCTCCCAGAAGAGCCTGGTGCTGCTCTCCAGCCTGGCACCACTCACAGCAGCTCATCTCCTGCATCCTTTTATTAGTGAGACAGTGAGCTCCCACCCTGGGGCTGGGCACTGACAGGGCTTCCTGTGCCCATCCAGGCTGCAAGGTGCTTGTTGGCTCCTCTAAGGCCCAGCCTGAGCCATGTGTCACCCCCAGGCCTGCCCAGCCCCTGGCACAGCTGGCAGTGCCAGCCCATCCAAGCCCTGCTCTGGTGTGGATCCCTCTGCTCCAGTCCCAGTTAAAAATGAGGTTGGAATCAGGAACATGGTGCTGAGCAGGGGAAGAGCCTTGGCCAGGGAAAGGGGATTTGCCATGGGGATAGAGCAGGGCCCTGGCCTGGCTGCCCATGAGCCACTCAGTGCAGCCAGAGGCTCCTGGACAGGACAGGGTCACTGAGAGCCTGCCCAGCACAGCCCAAGGCAGGACACTGAGCAGCTGGGGCACCCTCCTCAGCAAGGGAAAGCTGCTGGGAGCTGTGCACACATCCCATCCCATCCCATCCCTTCAGATCCTGCAAAGTCCAGCCTGGTGCCAAGGAAGGGAGAAGGGCTCTGGACCAGACTCTACACTCCCAGCTCCCCTCCCCTGCTACATTCCATCCTGGACAAAGGCAGAAAGATCTATACAGTATAATACATATATATTTCACTATGAAATAGCAATTTCATTCCCTGCCTTCTACTTTATGCATCCTGAATTATATGCTTCTTTTTACATCACTCCAGAGGGCTGGTGGGGCTGGGTGGGTTCTCATGCGAGGCAGTTGCTCTCCCTGGAAGTTCCCACAGGACGCACCAGCAGCTGATGTGGCAGGACCTAAACATGATTCCCATCCCTCCTTGCCCTGCCCCAGCTGCAAGGGCAGCCTCTGGGCAGCTGGGCTCTCCCAGTCCATTTCAGTGGTTCCTCAGTGCAAACCCATGTACCCCCTGAGCTGCTCTGAGCAGCTGTGGATGGAGTGGGAGCAGCAGCTGAACCCCACCCCGACATCGATCGCAGGTATGGGAGGAGCAGACCGAGGGGAGAGGCGGGGACAGTGCAGCATGCACACCCAGTGAGTGGTGACACCGGGGCACACCGAGTGTGACATCCAGGGCACACCCAGTGGTGACGCCCGGGCCCGCCCGGCCCGGCCTGCCCCGCCCACGTGGGGAGCCGGGGCTGCAGCCCCAAGGGTGAAGTTCTACCAAAGGTCAGGCCCTGAGGAACAGGAGTCCCGTCCGGGGGCTGGGTCACCGGCCAAGAGCTGTCATCACTGGAACCAGTGCAGAGCCGGGTGTCAGGTGGAAGGAGAAACAATCCTGTGGAAAGAAAAGAGGGCAGATGTTTTAGGGAAACACTTAGGGAAGGTTTGCTGGGGAGCCACTGTCCTGGAAATATCAGACACTGGCAGCACTGGGGCTTCCAGTCACTGTGCTGGGGCTCTGGGTCCTGCACGCTGGGAAAGGGAAAGGGACAGCAGGTTCCAGCTGCTGCTGGGTTTGGGCTCCATAAACAAGGTCAGCATTTTATATCCCTTTAAATGAAACCTGCAGCAGTTCAGCTGCTGGCTGAGCAGGACACAGCCATGCCCAGACCCCTCCCACAGCAGCAATGAGCTCACCCCAGGAGCTGTCCCAGCAGGGACAGTGGCAGGGACAGGAGCTGTCCCCAGCACCCACCTGCGCTCCCCGTGCGCCCCAGTCCGTCACATGGTCCGGCTGTACTCGATGCTGCTCTTGGCAGAAATGCCAGACCAGGGCAGGAGGCTGCACAGGAGGCTCTGGGCCTGTCTGTAGATCCTCTGGGGGATGGAGCACGGGCTCAGGCTGGCCAGTGTGGAGCCAATGTGCTGTAGGTAGTCAGTGGGCACCAGTTAAGGACAGCAACACTTACACTGTAACTCAGCAAAGAACATCAATCTCTCCTGGAGCTGCCCTGCCTGCAGGGACCCCACACAGTGGAAACTGCTCAGCTCAGTCAGGTCTGCTCCTTGCAATCACTGGCTCCACCCTTCTGTCAAAAGCAGCTCTGCTCTGCCCTGTAAAGGATGGCAGTTTGGGAATGGCAGCTGCAGCTTGTAGGAAATACCTCCTCTGAGCAGGTCCCTTTGCACTCCACAGAAGATCCTGTGAGGAGAGCAATCCATCCCCCTGCCCAGCAAGGTTGGAACTGACCAGCTACACCCAGGAAGGATCAAGTTTCTTCTCCATGATCCGTTGACCTGAAACAAATCCCCTAAGTCAGTGTGGGAGCAGCCTGCTGAGATCCAGGCCAGCCCAGGCTCACAGGGGATCCCAGGCCACAGGAAACAGGACCAAGGGTTTCTCTGCCCTGTTCATGGCTAAATCCTGCACCCTACAAGCCAAAGCACACCCAGAACTTTGGCCTAACACCAGCACTCGCTCTCACTGGCATCCAGCTTGCTCCAACCATCCTACATCAAATAACTCTAACATCTCCTTCCTTCCAGCTGCAGATAAACCCACACCTGAGCAGGTTTCAGTTCCCACATCTACCCACACTCTGCTGCTGTTAACCCAAAGCAGGTTTGGCCTCTCTCAGCAGCCTGCAGGGAAAGGATATAAAATTGTCCAGGGTGGGTGCCCACCGTTGATGTACAGGACATAGGTGAAGCCATCTTTGAGGACCCCTCGGATGGAGTAGTAGTAGGGCAGGTAGTGGTGCTGCTTAAAGTCTCTGTTCTCATAGAAGTTTATTGCTGTGTTGTTGGTGGTGAGCACGTGCAGGTAGATGGCTTTGCAGTGGTCCTGGGCAGTGGTGGAGATGTGATCCTTCAGGCTCTCAAGCAAGAGGGAACCTGTTGAAGGGAAGGCAGCAGGATCAGTGTGTGTGCAGCCACAGGGACCCTCAGCTGAGCCCTGCTGCACCAGGGATTGCTGATCAGGGATTGCTCCAACACCTGGGGACCCCAAACCCCACCCAGTTCTCACAGGACCCTCTACATGGTTTCATACATGGTCTCACCTATGAGCAGGGCTTCAAAACCCAGAGATTTTACAGACACAAAACTCTGACTCAATAACCACAAGGATGAGGCAGAATTTTGTTAACACTGCTCATCCCCAGCAGAGAACTGGCTTTGGGGAAGGTCAGTGACTCATTTTCAGTGGTATCAGTTCCACCCCATACATGTATTTATTTTACAGCCATTTGATACAGCAGATTCAAAGCAGGACTTCACAAGCAGGTTATTGTATTGTGTCTGCTGAGCTTGAACCAAAATCTAAGAACTGCTGGGGTTTTAAGATACCTCCTAAGGAGGAGTGGAGACAGCCTCATCCAACCTGCATTTGCTGCAGCCAGCAGGAAAAAACAGAGGAGGGTACAGAGGATACTCCAGCCCCAAGAGACACGACCTGGGGTTCACCCACACCACCTCAACATGAAGGACCCAGCAGAACCTGCATGGGAGCTTCTTCCAGCAGGAGTGGAAACACCAGGCTGAACAATCAGCCTGACTAACACACAGGAGAGATGGCTGCTGCTGTTCCACAATCCCCAGGGCCTGCAGGACTCCCTGGAGGACTCACAGGACTTCAGAACAGCACTGACTTCACATTCTCTTGATATTTAGTGAGAATCTGTATCAGCCAAAACCAAAAAAAAAAACCAAACACTGAGCAGTTCAATTTTGTTATAAGATATTCCAATCTTCTACCTCACAGAAATCCAGCTGTCCTGTGGTTTAAGAACAGCAGAGAATTAAAAACCAAACCCTTTTACAAAAATCAGAGCAAATCTGAGCTTTAGTGCTCAGAAGCATGGCTGGAGTGAAAAGCCTCCTGCATGAAAGGCTGCAGCTTCAAACACCACTAGGAAAAGTCAAGAGAAAGGTCTCAGAAAAAGCAGCAGCAGCTTTTTATAGGTTGTGTTGCTACAGGTGCAAGCTCAAAGTTTTTGAGAGAGCACAGCAACATGCTGTGCAGATGGAATGGATACAGGAAATACTGACTCTGAAAGGAGAAAATTCCAGCAAGATAGAACTGGGGGGGAAAATAGGATTTGGATATTAGGAGGAGACTGAAAACCACCATAATGTTACAGAAAGACCTCTTTACCAGCTTCTGTGATCATTCTGTGCTACCACTTTCTTCTTTGTACTGGAAAATTCTCTCCAGAGGCATTTTAATGCTTTCACCAATGACTCTGTGGTCATTTCTTTATGTATCCTCTAAGGTTATACCTCTCCAAACATGCCTGGGGGAGAAGGGAGGATCTGGAAGTGCTGAGTTACACCCATGTGCACTGCCAAACCTGGCCCATTCCCTTCTGCAGGTCAGAGATGCACATCCTGCCTGAAATGGCACCACAGAGGCAGCACTTGGTGACAGAACACAACTGCTCTAAACAGAGGAAAACCTTTCAGACTCCAGGATTTCAAATGGCTGCAGGAAAGTTGCTTGTGGCAGCAGACATTCAGAAATTACTTGTACATTTGAGATCTAATCAGGCACAAGTTACACTATTTTCCAGTTCCCTTTGTGGTTTTCTCACAGTTTGTTATATCTGTTGAAGATGAAAGATTAAAAGCAGCTCTTTTCTGCCTCAGGGATCAGACTGCTGAGACCCAGAATGAAAATAATTTCAAACCCTGCTTCTGGGTGAAGTTCTTACACTTTCAGACACTCTCAGCAGCACCAGTGTGAGTTTTTGGTGTGCTCAGCTGGCCCCTGGGAACAGGACTGAGAAAGGCCTGTGCTCTGTGGAAATATTTGCACATTGTGTTGTGCCCACACCAGTAAAAAGCTCCCAGTGCACCTGCACTGTCCCAGCTGCTGGTACCAGTCACAGGTAACCCTTTCCCATTCCCTCAGGGACACTGCAGGGGGGCACTGGAGCTCCTTCAGCCACCCCTGGCAAATGCACCAAGAGCATCTTACCTATTCCATGTTTTCTGAACTCCTTCACCACTCCAAGGCTTAGGATGTAAGCAACTTGAGTGTCCACAGGAAAATTGGAAGCTAGGATATCTCCATCCTGCATAGAGATAGGACAGGTTTTTTAATAGGGTACCTGGGGAGGCACAGGAGAAAGCAAGAACCCTGCACTGGAACACCTGAAAACAAGGCTAAAGCAGGAAACTTCTCTTAACTGAACAGTGTTAGCTGAAGCTTTTGGGATGGAAGTTAAATATCCAAGCATGGAGCTATTCCTATTTTCACATCATCCTCCCAGAGGCAGAACCCAAACCATGCTTGGGTTTAGGGACAGAACATGTTTGCTTCCTTTACCAGAAGGATTCAAAGTGCCAGCTCTGGAGCCACCCAGCAGGGTTTAGATCAACCCAGCAAGTCCTTGTGGCTGCAAGCTGCACCTGAGCTGTGTCAGCTGGGGAGGACAAGGAGCACATTCCACAGCCCCAGCTGCCCAGAGCAGTGCCTGAATAAACCCTTGGCTTTCAGCTGGTCTGGAACAAGAGCCTTTTGCAGAAGTTGCTGAAGATGCAGCTTCTGACTGTGATGAGCTTTGAGATGAAGCCAGCCAGCTGAGGTGAAGAGACCCATGTGCTGCTCTGTGCATGTTGGGTTATTGTTTAACCACATCACTGAGTTACATCCAGGAGGAGTTAGGCACTCCCTGCACTGCCCCTGCCTTTTTTTAGTGCTCTTCTCCCATGCTGTCTTCACTGACCATCTCTTCTTTCCCTCTCTCCTGCCCTCCCAGCCCTGTTATCTCTGAAGTCCAAGCTCTCTGCAGACAGGTTAGCTCCCCTCAGGGCTAGGGACAGGGACTGTGCAAAGGGAGGAGTTTCTGCAGGAAGTCACCAGAGTGACTCACCCACTACAGCTAAGGAAGCTCTTATGAAAAAAAGAGTTTTGTGCTCCCCCAGCTACAGCAGCCATGGCCAGGGATTATCCTGCAGGATCTGATCCCTCAGCTCTCCAGAGGCCCCAGCAGGAGGAGCCTCTGTGGTACCACACAGCCCCTCACTCACCCCTGCTCCATTAGCTGGAAACCAGAGTGTGCCTCACTGCTGACATGAACTCAGACCAAGTGTCCGAACAGGGCAGGAAAACCCCACCCCAAACAGATCCATCCCCTTTCCCCAGGGCAGGGGGTGGGTTCTGTGCTGCTGGAGCCCAGGGTGTCACACACCTCTTTGTGCACCTTGGTCCTGCTCTTGATCTCTGCCACGATCATCCCCACGATGGAGCCTCTGTAGGTGGCTGCGAGGGAAAAGAACTTCTTGTTGGAAGTGATGTCTCGGTACCATGAGTCAGGGTACCTGGAAGGAACCACAAACACCAAAGTCTGGGCATGCAAAGCCCATGGAACAGGCACTGCAACCCCTTTAGTGGGCTCTTTCATGTAATGGCCTCCTGCCTTGATAAGAGAATCACATTTTCATCTTACAGCCTTCGCCCAGAGCTTTCACATCCATCTTTAGCAAGTTATTTTTAAATGCAAGATCCATCTGCCCTCATCTAAGAGTCTCATTAATTTGATACACATGTAAAAAATTGCTGCATATTGATAGGAAAAAAAAAATCATCACACCACCAGCCTCCAGTTCTCCTCCTCCTTCTGCAGCTACTAAAGGAAACTACTGTATGTTCATTTTTTTCCAAATGACAGTTCAGCATGTCTTGCCTTTAAAAGAAATCTACAAACTCAAAACATTATGAATGCTTTTGCTGATTTGTTACATTTCATTCAATCTTAATTATAATCTGCTAGAATTCTCTATGAAGCTAAAGTTAAAAATCCATGAAGTCTAGAGCTGTATGGATTAGGTCAGAAATGTGTCAGTGTCCCCCAGAAAAGCTCCTGTGCTTGTGCAGCCATGGGCATTGACCAGATGTGGGTGTGGGGAGCTCCCTGGGGCAGGCTGAGATCAGCAGCATGCAGGAGCAGTGCTCAGCTCCCCAGGACATTCAGAGCAGCCCTCAGGACCAGCTCTGTGCCAGCCCAGCTCAGCTCTGAGGGTGCTGCCCCAGCCCCAGGATCCAGGACACAAATTCCTTCCACAAGCACAGGGATCCTTCTTCCTGCAGGGGATGTCCTTCCCCACCTCATTCAGCCTTTCTCAAGAGGCTGATCCATCCCTTTAATGACAGAGCCCATTCTCCTGCCCAAATGTGCACACTGGAAGATTCTGATTACTCCAGTACAGGCAGCAAAGGACTTTGGACTAAAGGACCTATGTTGGGCACCAATACATGTATTTGTTTTGGTTTAGGGTAAATTTTGGAGAGAATTTTTAAAGGGTTTTTTTTTTTTTAGGAAAGTAGATTTAATTGTTTGGTTTTTGTAATTGGTTTGGGAGAAAATATTTTTCTGGAGAAAAGTGGAAAAATCATTTTACTGATTAGAAATTTAATGTAATATTTAATATTTAAATTAATTATAAATATTTAACTTTAAATATTAATTAAATATTAATATTTAACTATTATATTAAATTTTATGTAAATTTAATATATTTAATACATTATAAATAAATTTATTAAATAATGATATTTAAATAATATTATAATATAATTTTTGTTGTTTTAAAAGAGATGATAAATTTAGAAAGGGTTTTTTGGGTTGTAGTTTGGTTTATTTAGTTTTTTAGGTGTTGGAAATGTTGTGGTTTAGGTTTGGTTTGGTGGGTTACAGGTGTGAGTTGCTAGTGGATTTTTGGGTGTTTAGTTTAGAGTAGGTTTAAATAGGTTTAAAGAAAAGAGAAAAAAAGAAAAAAATATAGTTTAGGGATTTTTTTTTTGTTTTAGTTATTTAACCACAGTGCACAGAAGATTCCCTGGCAACAGCCCTGAGGCTGCACAGAGCTGGAGCAGTGCAGGTTCACCCCTTTGTCCCCTTTGTCCCCAGAGCAGCACGTACTCGATTGGGAACCAGTCTCCACAGAGCTGCTTCACCGTGTCTATGTCATCGTGGCACAGCAGGCGCAGGGTCACATCCGTCAGGGCGCTCGGCGGCACCTCCTCTGTCATTCACGCCTGGGGGAGCAAACAGGGAGAGCTGGGACACGGGGACGGCTGGGACACACACAGGGACGGCTGGGACACGGGGACGGCTGGGACACAGGAGAGCCGGGACACACACAGGGACGGCTGGGACACGGGACACAGGAGAGCCGGGACACGGGGACTGATCCCACAGCACCACCCGGGGCAGATCCACAGCATCACCAGGGATCAGCATCACCCCAGGGCCTGATCCCACAGCACCCCCAGGGGCTGATCCAACAGCACCTCCAGGGATCAGCATCACCCCAGGGCCTGATCCACAGCACCGCCTGCGGCTCTCCTGGAGAAATGGATTTCCCAGGAAACTGAGTTTTCAGGGGAGATGAAGCAAAACACAGAAATATTGACCTCAAAGCTGTAAAAATGGCAAGCCCAGCTCTCAGCTGAGCATTCCTCCAGCCCCAGATCCAGGCACATCCTGACCCCCGGGAGCACAGGCTGGTGTCTCTGTGTGTGAGGAGCACGTGGCCACAGCCCTTCCAAAAAGAGCATTAAATGAGCCAACAGCCTGCCAAGTGTACCTTATGTTGCATGGAGCTCTTCAAATGTCCGTGCAGCACCAACATTTTGTTAAAACAAACCTGAACAAACAGCTTAAAAAGGAAGCACTGCTAGGGGAACGTTTAGAAAGTCCTCTGGCACAACCTGCCATCTCCAGTGAGTGCATATGCAGAGGATTCCAACTCTAAAATGTTCATTTTGTTTAACCTATGCTGGTGAAATGAGATCCAGTTTCACTTCCCCTCATTCTGATCCCTCATTCACTTCCCCTCATTCTGCCCAGCTCCTCCCAGCCCAGCACAGAGCACTCACACACAGAAATCCCAGGACACCTTTTCTCCACAGCCCTGCCACGATGTGCTGAGCACAAACAACACTGGCTGCAATGTCTTCAGTCTTTTTTAACAAGCACCAGAGGGAAAGAAGCAAGTGATAGCTAAAGTGGTTGTAAAAGCATTTGCAGCACTGAGGGATGAGTGGAGAACACATTTTAGGCATGGCAAAGCCCCACATGAGACAGACAAGGTGAGGGGAGACAGGAGTCATTTCCTTCATCTCTTTCACCTCAACCCTCCCTGGTAAAAGAACCAGACCAGGATGCAAATTAAAAAAACCAAAGCCACCGCCCTTTACAAAAACAAATAACTTAAAATTTTTACTTTCTTTTCCCAATTTTAAGAGTCTCAAGTCTTGGTTTCAAAGTGCCAAGTTATAAGAGAAAAGCTGCACAGAGCAGTGTCTGTCTATGACCTCCTATGAAAAGGGATGCTCAGCTCTCCAGTGCTCTCGATTTACAGCTCAGAGCTCAAGGAGGAACAGATTTAAACACACTCCCCTTTGCACTGCATGTGCCATTTGAGCAGCTTCTACACAAATATTGTAACTGGCAAAGTTACAGTTGCCACTTTGGGCAATTTTAGGTTGCCAAACTTACAATTTAGCAATTAATTATAAAGTTACTAAAGTCACTTGGACAAGCTCTCAAGCACATGGTGAGATTCCCTGGGTGTCCCGTGCAGGGCCAGGAGTTGGACTCGGTGATCCTGACGGATCCCTTCCCCTCAGCATATTCTGTGATTCTACTCTGGCAGTTACAGTCACTCTGTACAGAAATGGATCCCTTGTTCCCCTCCAAAGAATTCCTTAAAAAGCATCACAGCTATTTCCCAGCCTGTTTACTGAGCAGCCCACAGCATTCACACTCAGCCCAGGTGCCAGTTTCAGAACAACTTCAGCCCCTACAAATCCTGCACTCCTTCCTTGCTGCCTTTAAATCTTCTTTCACACTCCCAGAACTGGCTCAAGCCCTCAGAGGCCAGATTGGAATCTGTATCCTGTCCCAGTGGTGCACACACCACCACCCCCAGCCTCTGGTGACCTTTTAAAAGCCTCAGCTTCACCCCATGGGACCCTGAAGGAAGAAGGACAAACATTTGCTGGCTGAGGCTCATCTGACTCCCACCACTGCTTCTGGATGCTGTGGACCCCAGTCTCAGCCCTGCTGAGCCATTTCAGAGCTGTGACACCACAGGATTGTTTTCCTTGCAAAGTTTCAATGCTCCTGTAAGGGAACTCCCCTTCTCAGCATTAATAAATCAGAGAGAAATGAAACCACCATGCCAGAGACACAGCTTTGCTAATGAGTAGAAAAGGCAGAGCAGCACAGGACACATTCCTGTGAGGATTAGTCCATGTGTATTTAACACCGTGTTCTCAAAGAGCTGGGCAAGCATTACACATTATCCTGGAGCTGAAGCCAGCCTCCATCAAGTAATCCATGGCTGTTTTGTTGAACAGGATAATCCCCCTCCCCTCAAATTCACACTCCCACGGCTGGTTGTGTTTGCAGGGACTCATCCAGATGCTCCAGCACATTTAAAGGACATTTGGGACACCCATCTGGCACTGTGCCCTGCCCTGGGGTTCAGGAGAGCAGAGCTGTGTCCCTTCCTCCTGGCCAGGTGTCACTGCTGCTGGAGGAGCTGTGGCAAGTGGCTGCTGTGATCAAGAGAGAAGAAATTCCAGGCAAACCAATTCCCTTCATAGCCAGGTGACAGCCTCTGGCTCTGCTGGATTCCTGGAAAAAGCCCCAAGAGCAGGTCCTGGCCCTGGGCACAGCCTGTGGCAACGCTGCCCTCAGCACAAACTCCTGAACTCAAGGCTCAGCCAACACAGTGACCCAAGGAGCACCTTCAGAGTCAGCTTAAGAGGACAAAATACATGTTTGAAAGCACAGAACAAACCAAAAACAGTATCAGTGTAAAACAAATCCCTGGAAGTGAAAAGGGCCTTCAGGGGTTTAGAGGCAGCAACACTGACAACACAAGTTCTGACCTTGAGACCCAAGGATGGCTCCTGTGCAGCCAAATGCAGGCTCCAGGGGCATGGGGTTAATTCAAGGTGTCCATGGCCACTTGGGAAAGGCAAAGTGAAGTTATCTCATTTCTTTTAATATCTTTTAATATATTTTTCTCAGGTGTCAGCCTTTGGTTCACATGCTGGCCCCGGTCTGGGAGGACATGGCCAATGTCACCCACTGTCCCCTCCTGGGGACACAGTGACCTCACCTTCTGTCCAAGCAGGAAACACTTGTTCAGGAGGATTAGAAAATGAGCCAGCATTTCATATTTTATTGAGCATTTCATGCTTACAAAGGGATAGTGCAGATAAGCACTTGGGAAAGCTCTGAGGACAGCCTCTTACAAAATACTGAGTCAGGGGCAAGCAGAACTAGAAACTGAGCATTAATTCCCTTTCTTACCTAAAACCTGCAGACATTAATGCATAACAAATTCATTTAAAAAATACAGGAAAGCATAAAAGTTGTAAGCATTTTGACTAGTTTTTTGCCTTGCTCTATTGAAACAAATCTAGCAAAATGTTTTGGCCTCAAGTGTATTGGGTAGCACAGAGGAACCTGGGAAATTCTTATGACAAGTATTTAGCAGTAATGGAATCTGGATGAAAAGAAATAGTAAATGCATTACTAAATAAGCCAATTTGACATACAAATTTAAATTAAAGTACATTGTGAGGCCTGAACTTGCTATTTAAAAATGATGTCATGAATCTTTGGCATCCACAAGCTGTAATGAGCTAAAGAGCAGCATTTCACAGCTGTGTCTGAAAGGCAGCAGAGCCATGGCTGGGCCCCAGGGGCTGTCCCTGCCCACTCAGGCTCTGCCATCCCCACCACCAGCACCTCCTGAGCCCATGCACAGGGAGCAGCTTTGTTTAGAGCCAGCTGCAGGAACAGTTCATTTACATGGAGCAGATGCTTCACAGCTGAGACACCTCAGCTTGAGCTTTTCTCGAGAGCAGGAGGGTTTCACTCCCTCTTAGAGCTCCTGTATTTATAAAAAAAATAAAAATCATAATAAGATCACACTTCTAGAGAGACAGGCAGCCATACAGAACCAGCAGTGTTCAAATGAAGAATAAAGCCTGATGCTTTGGCAGACAGCTGCTTAAATGTGTTTGAAAATCCCTTCAGCACTTCCATACCTACAAAAACCTGGCCAAGTGGTTCTACAGGTTGAGATTTCCCTTGTTTAGCACTGCTAGACATGTTTTATCAATGTTTCTGCCTTGTGCATCCTGCAGAAATGAGTTGGATTTCACCAGTGAACAAGATCTTACTTTCATTAACTTTTATTTTGACTTCAGCTTCCAAGCAGATAAACTCATGAAATTCCCACATAAAAATTTTATCATCTAGCAACAAATATCACTGAATTTCCTAGCAGAATAAAAGCCAGGTAATCTTGGTTTGACTAAAATCAAATAAATAATAACTAGGATTGTTTACAACTCTAATTCCCAGTTAGGGATGTATTGACTTTAAATTTAGTGTTCACACAAAAACCAAAGTGAAGGAATCTTCCTCACTTGCAGAAACAAAGCTGGATCGAAGCCCATCAATACCTTTTACTTTATTTAAAAGCTAATTGAGATCAATTCATCCCACAGGAAGCAGCAGAGCTGCAGGGAAGAATAAAGAGAAGGCCTGGCAGGCTGTGGGTGTTTACAAATGGGTGCCATAATTCAGGGTGCCAATAACTGTCCCCAAGGCACCCCCAGCCAGCACCCCAACATTAAACAGTGCAGATCCTCAGGATGAAGATTTTCACCCTCAGGAATTCAAAGCATTCACTTTGCTGGATTATTAAGGATTATCTGCTATCCTTGCACAGAAGGAAAAGATTAAGTTTCTGCAGTGGCTCCCAAGGACACCCCACGAAGGGGCTGTGCCAGAGGAGGGGCAGTGACACCAAACAGCCCACGGGGCACAGGGAGGGCTGGCTGTCCTGGCAGCTCCTGGCCAGCACTGCAGGGCATGCAGGGCATGTCACAGGGCCTCTGTTTCACTTTACAGACATTCCCTGCACGCAGGGACAGAGATGGATTCCCTGTGCCCTCACAGCAGAGGTGCTGCTGCAGTGTCACCACCAAATCCTTGTTTGCAGCTT